TACTGCACCACACGGCCATTTCGTCCATTTATGACTAACCAGTGGTACTAGAGGTCTAACAAAATAACCATTATCCTGTACCATCCGGCCATTTCGTTCATTTATGACTAATCAGTGGTATTAGAGGTCTAACAAAGTAAACCTTATACTGCACCTTACGGTCATTTCGTTCATTTAAGGACTAATCAGTGGTACTAGAGGACAAACAAAGTTAACCTTATACTGCTCCATACGGCCGTTTCGTTCATTTAGGGACTAATCAGTGGTACTTAGGGTCTTACAAAGTAAACCTTATACTGCTTCTAACAAAGTAAACACTATACTGCATCATACGGTTATTTTGTCCATTAAGGACTCATCAGTGGTACTAGAGGTCTAAAGGTAAACCATCCACGTCTAAAAGTGTTGGAGTCATATGTAGGAATACAGCGATAGGGAGCGAAACAGAGTCATACCTATCTCCATACGGTTATCTCGTCCATTTATGACTAAACAGTGGTACAAGAGGTCTAACAAAGTAAACATTATACTGCTTCATTCGGCCGTTTCGTTCATTTAGGGACTAATCAGTGATTCTTAACGTCTTACAAAGTAAACATAATACTGCGCCATATAGTTATTTCGTTCATTTAGGGACTAATCATTGGTTCTTAACGTCTTACAAAGTAAACATGATACTGCTCCATAAAGTTATTTCGTTCATTTAGGGACTAATCATTGGTTCTTAACGTCTTACAAAGTAAACATAATTCTGCGCCATATAGTTATTTCGTTCATTTAGGGACTAATCAGTGGGTCTTAACGTCTTACAAAGTAAACATGATACTGCTCCATAAAGTTATTTCGTTCATTTAGGGACTAATCATTGGTTCTTAACGTCTTACAAAGTAAACATGATACTGCTCCATAAAGTTATTTCGTTCATTTAGGGACTAATAAGTGGTACTTAAGGTCTTACAAAGTAAACCTTATACTGCTCCATACGGTTATCTCGTCCAATTATGACTAAACAGTGGTACAAGAGGTCTAACAAAGTAAACATTATACTGCGCCATACAGCCATTTCGTTCATTAATGGACTAATCAGTGGTTCTTAACGTCTTGCAAAGAAAACATAATTCTGCGCCATATAGTTATTTCGTTCATTTAGGGACTAATCAGTGGATCTTAACGTCTTACAAAGTAAACATAATACTGCGCCATATAGTTACTAGAGGTCTAACAAAATAAACAGTATACTGCACCAACCATACGGCCATTTCGTCCATTTATGATTAATCAGTGGTACTAGAGGTCTAACGAAGTAAATATTATACTGCACCATACGGCCATTTCGTTCATTTATGACTAATCAGTGGTACTAAAGGTCTAACAAAGTAAATATTATACTGCACCATACGGCCATTTCGTTCATTTATGACTAATCAGTGGTATTAGAGGTCTAACAAAGTAAACATTATACTGCTTCATTCGGCCGTTTCGTTCATTTAGGGACTAATCAGTGATTCTTAACGTCTTACAAAGTAAACATAATACTGCGCCATATAGTTATTTCGTTCATTTAGGGACTAATCAGTGGTTCTTAACGTCTTACAAAGTAAACATAATACTGCGCCATATAGTTATTTCGTTCATTTAGGGACTAATCAGTGGTACTTAAGGTCTTACCAAGTAAACCTTATACTGCTCCATACGGTTATCTCGTCCATTTATGACTAAACAGTGGTACTAGAGGTCTAACAAAGTAAACATTATACTGCACGAAACGGTTATTTTGTCCATTAAGGACTCATCAGTGGTACTAGAGGTCTAACAGAGTAAACATTATACTGCACCAGACGGCAATTTCGTTCATTAAGTGACTAGTCAGTGGTACTAGGGGTCTAAAAAAGGAATCATTATACTGTTCCATATGACCATTTCGTCCATTTATGACTAATCAGTGGTATTAGAGGGCTAACAAAGTAAACATTATACTGCACCTTACGGTCATTTCGTTCATTTAAGGACTAATCAGTGGTACTAGAGGTCTAACAAAATAATCATTATACTGCACCATAAGGCCATGTCCATTTTCGACTAATCAGTGGTACTAGGGGTCTAACAAGGTAAACATTATACTGCACCATACGGCCACTTCGTTCATTTATGACTAATCAGTGGTATTAGAGGTCTAACAAAGTAAACATTATACTGCACCTTACGGTCATTTCGTTCATTTAAGGACTAATCAGTGGTACTAGAGGACAAACAAAGTTAACCTTATACTGCTCCATACGGCCGTTTCGTTCATTTAGGGACTAATCAGTGGTACTTAAGGTCTTACAAAGTAAACATTATACTGCTCCATACGATTATTTCGTCCATTTATGACTAATCAGTGGTACTAGAAGTCTAACAAAGTAAACATTATACTGCACCATACGGCCATTTCGTTCATTTAGAGACTAATCAGTGGTACTTAAGGTCTGACAAATTAAACATTGTACTGCTTCATACGGCCATTTCGTTCATTTAGGGACTAATCAGTGGTACTTAAGGTCTAACAAAGTAAACATTATACTGCACCATACGGTTATTTCGTCCATTTATGACTAATCAGTGGTACTAGAGGTCTAACAAAGGAAACAGTATACTGCACCATACGGCCATTTCGTCCATTTAGGCACTGACCAGTGGTACTTAAGGTCTAACAAAGTATCTCAACAGTTGAACTAGAGGTCTAACAAGGTAAATATTATACTGCACCATACGGTCATTTCGACCATTTAGGACTAATCAGTGTTTTAAAGGTCTAACAAAGTAAACATTATACTGCTCCATCATGCCATTTCGTCCATTTCGTACTCATCAGTGGTACTAGAGGTCTAAAGGTAAACCATCCACGTCTAAAAGTGTTGGAGTCATATGTAGGAATACAGCGATAGGGAGCGAAACAGAGTCATACCTATAAAACCCTTCGTTACACATAAACAACTTTTGAATACAACATGTGATATATCGGTAAAATAATATAATTGTAAATCCTACTAGAATCAAGTCTGGCTAAACGGTTATGTATAGTTGTTATTCACTCTGTTTTATCTAACCACTCCCAATACATTTTTAAACATTATTTCAGAACTTATGGGGGTGATGTATAAGTTTCAGTTCAAATATCGGTGTTAAAATATAAATCGAATGTTAATGTAATTGTTTATGACAATTGTCTCGCTTCCCGATTCTGTAATACAAACTTAATCTTTCGTTTTAGAAATAAACTTTCCAAGGGCGGTACAACTAGCGGCTCCATAAATACTGAACTAGAGGTAAGATACAACAACACTGCTCCTCCGGTCGCCGACCAGGAAGACCCTGATCACCTGTCACATGAGGAGGCTGGTCCAGCGATAGAAACCGATCACTATGGTTACGGAATTCTGGGTAAAACTTCAGGGGCTGAGAGGAATCCCGTAGGAATTGATGACGACGACTTTTACTCTCACACAAACACAAATCAACCATTCGGTAGTGAATACGATGTCTCTGAGAGGAAAAAAGAAAATAGGGACGAGTCGGGTATCTACGATCACACTAAACCTGGGGGGATGGAAGAAGGACAATATGACGAATTCCAAGATCCAAAATCGTCGTGTGTGAACAAGGACGATTCTATCTACAATACAGACACCGATGAGTTACCCTAAACAAAAATACTTTATCTAGTTGTCCTCCATCTTCAGTTCGATAGAGCAGAAGATGTTTTCAGTCCGTCCTTTTACCAAACATTCATTTGTACCAATAACTTACCTAGAATATTAATATATACAATATTCCAACATTGATAAGAGATATGCGAAATTCATATTTAATTGTTTAAGGTTAAGGGTATTTCTTCAGTTTTAATTTCTCTTAATATTAATATATTTTAGTCAAACTACAAGGGAGTACTGGCCAATTTCAATTATTAGCATAATATGTGCGTAATAAGGTTATTGGTACTTTCTTCTTTGTGACAGATTGTTCGTCTTCGATAAATATCTTTTGTATTTGTCAATGATTTTCACTTAGTTTGAAATGAGTTTTGCAAAATGTCCATGCCCGGTGCAGTTTTGAAAAGGACTGAAATATGAACATCGTCAACGATATTAAAGGAACTCAGTTTGGTTGTCGTTAACCTTCCCTAATGACATACACGTGTTCACCCCATTAGATATAAAGTAGTACTACTATTATCATGAGAAGACGGTTTAAATCTGTGTAATTACGGACTGGATATTTTTCACTTTGTTTCAAAAAATCAAATATCACTACAAATCAATCGTTAATATGAAAAAGATTAATAGAATCTTCCCCTATCTTGAAGATGTGATAGAGAAATCTCCACCCCGAGTGGTGATTTTTTTGGTTGTCTAACCCAAGGCCCTGCCGAGGGTTAGATAACCAAAGAAATTACCCCGAGGGTTGGAGATTACTCTGTGACACCCTCAAGGTAGGTGATGATAGTTTTTCTCCCATTCTGTTATTTCAGTCACAACTCCACCATCAGTAGTGTAAACAAAAACACATGTCGGGTATGAATATCGTCATTCACTTTTGATGACGTCACATTTACCAGTGACGCATTTTAATGACGTCTCAATTGAACACGTGCTAATCGGCACGAGGTTATCTTCCCCTCGGGGTTGACAAGCTGATCTTTCCCGGCTAAAACGGGAGACACACCTGTGAAGGATGGGGGAAATTCATATCCCTACGTACTTCTTTATTTCAGAACATTTTGTAGTATATATCTATATAATAAGTGTATACATGTACATACACATATTTATACTGGAATATATAATTATATTTGTTCAAAGATAATTATTAAACCTATTTTGTGTGACATGTTTAATAGAAGTTAACAAACGATACATCAGTAGGTCTAATATGAAACGGATGTATCGAATAACAAAACAATTCTTTCGGTATATATGTGTTTATTTTACAACGTGATGAAACCCTTCTAGTTTTGTTCCTTATTCGAGAATGGCAATAGTGCCATTTACTTCTGGTTTTGGTTTTGGAAACGAACTCTTCGTTCGGATGAACAGAACCAATGCTGGTAAAAAAGAGAGAAGGGTAGACGTAAGTCCGATACCGAACGCTCCGCGCAGACAATGTAGTCCGAAACAGAAGAGTTCATTAGGAGTAGTGATGGCGTTCTCGTACATGACACCGAAGACTTCTTGTAGAGCAAAGCAGAATATTGCATTTACGAGGGTAATTAAACCCCAGTTCCTGCCAAGATTACCTATATACAAGATGTCGGCCGTCAAGACCGGCCCGAGTGACCACATGATGGCGTTCCCGATCCCAACCAATATGGTGGCTATGATCAGCAGGGAGAAAACATCCGCCAACAACAGGAACAGCATCTGCGATATGATGAATGAACCGATACCTATCAGGACCACGCTTGATCTAGGGAAGGTCCCAATGTATTTGTCCGAGAGGACTCCAATCAGAATACTGACTACCATGGTTGTGACGGGGATCAGAAGAACCAGAGTAGGGTTATGACGATCTAGTCTTACACTTGTGGCTATCTCCGTCAGGTTATTCGTCACAAACACGCCGACGGATGAAGTTAAAGTAAACACCCATAGTAAAGCGTGAAAATTGCAGTTTCCAGCCAGGCATGTTGTTGACATTGACACGTCCTTTTCCAACACTTTGCTCAAATCGTTCGGTATTCCGTTTATATCCTCGTAGGAAATGGATTGATTTGCCCTTTCCTTGCTCTCGGGAAGCCTTCTCAAGAATAAAATACATAGACTGTTGACAACGGCGAATGATATTGCCACCAGCATCATCAGACGAGGGAAGCTTTCCAAGTTGTCCGGATCATTCCCGTTAAATACATGGTAATAAACTAGAGAATAGACGAATGGACTTCCGGAGAAGAAGCAATTGAGTGTCCCCATTACTTTGCCTCTTTGTTGCTGTGTGAAGTTCACGAGATTCGTGTTCATCGACACCATGTATGTAAATGCAGTGCCTACACCTATGAAAATAAAAACGCTCGTAAATACAAACATCCGGATTTTAACTTTCAATATTTACAGTTACGAAACCTTTTGTGCAAATAAAAATTAATGTTAACAGATAATATACATGGAATTTATTGCTTGGTATTGTGCAACAGATGTAGCTTTCATCTTCCTTTCATGTTTTGTTTCATGTAAATTCGGGCTGATGAATGCAACAACTAAACCAGTTTGTTTCTTTCTCTCTGTTGTGTGCATGATAGAGTTAAGGACCTAGGACACATTTGTCATATTATAGACATGTGTGTGATGTCCTTGTTTATTTATAAACACTTTTATGACGTCATGTGAACCATGTATATATATATTTAGCCTTGTTTACGAGTATGGCAGAAAATCGATGTCACTTATGTATAAGAAACACAGGTGTAAATATTGTTAAGTCTGCTCAAAAAGAAAAAGAAAGATGGTACTAAACAGGAAAAAACATGAAAATTTTCATTTATTACATTTTTTAAAACATCCACAACTAAAACATTGTTACTGCTTCATACAAATGGGGGAACTCATAGCGTTATCGTTATCTTTTATATTCGAATGACGTCACTAGCCGTTTTGAATACATACTAGACGCAATTCTACTGGTTTCATTTGAGACCATTTTTTTACTGTCAACAAAACCAACGAGTCAAGGAAAATGGAAAGAGGTTTTGCTAGTTAATATATCTGATGAAGCATGACAAACTTATTACTTATCTCCTAGACTTCTTACTGATGACACCAAACTTCAGAATTTCCAGTTTGAAATATTGCATAATATTCTATATACTAATGTCAAATTAATGCAAGCTAAACTAATGGAAACAGAAAGGTGTTCNAACAGATGTAGCTTTCATCTTCCTTTCATGTTTTGTTTCATGTAAACTCGGGCTGATGAATGCAACAACTAAACCAGTTTGTTTCTTTCTCTCCGTTGTGTGCATGATAGAGTTAAGGACCTAGGGCACATTTTTCATATTCTAGACATGTGTGTGATGTCCTTGTTTATGTATAAACACTTTTATGACGGCATGTGAACCATGTATATATATATTTAGCCTTGTTTACGAGTATGGCAGAAAATCGATGTCACTTATGTATAAGAAACACAAGTGTAAATATTGTTTAGTCTGCTCAAAAAGATAAAGAAAGATGGTACTAAACAGGGAAAAAAATGAAAATTTTCATTTATTACATTTTTTAAAACATCCACAACTAAAACATTGTTACTGCATCATACAAATGGGGGAACTCATAGCGTTATCGTTATCTTTTATATTCGAATGACGTCACAAGCCGTTTTGAATACATACTAGACGCAATTCTACTGGTTTCATTTGTGACCATATTTTTACTGTCAACAAAACCAACGAGTCAAGGAAAATGGAAAGAGGTTTTGCTAGTTAATATATCTGATGAAGCATGACAAACTTATTACTTATCTCCTAGACTTCTTACTGATGACACCAAGCTTCAGAATTTCCAGTTTGAAATATTGCATAATATTCTATATACTAATGTCAAATTAATGCAAGCTAAACTAATGGAAACAGAAAGGTGTTCTTTTTGTGAAATGGAAGGGAGACAATGTTACATTTATTTTGGGACTGTTGCTATGTTAAGGTCTTTTGGTCCTCATCTTTTAATCTTATACAAATAAAACATGGCATTGAACTACCATTTACTTCTCAATCAATACTTTTTGGGGTCAGTATTGCTAGATTTGATTATGAAACAAAATTGTTGTTGCTACTCTTGAAGTTTTTCATCTACTATTGTAAGCAAAGGGAGACTACTCCGTCTTTTTCCACGGGTAAATTATATTTATCCTACTACAAAAAAAATAGAAGCGGTTGGTCTGTACTCTTACAGTACTTAAAAAAGGGACAAAATTAAAAGTAAATGGAACTTTATTACTGAAATAATAAGTTAGAAAATGAACTATGANAATTTCTTTACTGTCAACAAAACCAACGAGTCAAGGAAAATGGAATGAGGTTTTGCTAGTTAATATATCTGATGAAGCATGACAAACTTACTACTTATCTCCTAAACTTCTTACTGATGGTACCAAACTTCAGAATTTCCAGTTTGAAATATTGCATAATATTCTATATACTAATGTCAAATTAATGCAAGCTAAACTAATGGAAACAAAGGTGTTCGTTTTGTGAAAATGGATGGGAGACAATGTTACATTTATTTTGGGACTGTTGCTATGTGAAGATCTGTTGGTCCTAATTTTTTAATTTTATACAAATAAAACATGGCATTGAACTACCATTTAATTCTCAATCAATACTTTTTGGGGTCAGTATTGCTAGATTTGATTATGAAACAAAATTCTTATTGCTACTCTTGAAGTTTTTCATCTACTATTGTAAGCAAAGGGAGACTACTCCGTCTTTTTTCACGGGTAAATTATATTTATCCTACTACAAAAAAATAGAAGAGGTTAGTCTGTACTCTTACAGTACTAAAACAAGGGCCAAATTAAAAGTGAATGGAACTTTATTACTGAAATAATAAGTTAGAAAATGAACTATGAACTCTTTTCAAACTATTTTGAAACATATTTCTAAAGATTAATGTACTATATAGTAAAATTGTATCTATGTACTACTTCATTATTTATAATTGTATGTCAATTTCTGATAGATGTACTCTTGTAATTGGATTTGGACGTATGTATGTATCACATGTTGTAACAATTGTATATATGATTGAATAAAAGTATATATGAGAGAAAACAATAATAATACTGTCGGTTGAACAAATTCATACAATATGTTCGCAGATATCTTAACTTACACTTTAAAGCAATAAAGGTTGTCTTTACTAAAAAAAAATCAGATTTAACCATGGGGGTTAAAGCTATTTTAATATTCTTTGTCAAAATCAAATGGAATAGAAAATATATTTCTCTTCCTCAAAGAGCAAAATGTAAGAGGGGAGGGGTCAGTGTACTGTTTTTACGATATCATTTTATGTAAGTTTTAAACCTGGAAAGCAAAAATCAACTTGCTACAACGGCAATACAATGGCATTTTAGCGATAAATCTAATGTCCAAAACATGTGAATTTTTAGCTTACATTTTTTTGAGGGTATTCAAATGACTGCCAAAATTGTCATATTTTTTAACTAATAAAAGATGTTCTGTAAACAATGGGTATCTAGTTTTTAATGTATTTTTTAGATGCATATTTCTTTTTAAGATTTATCGTAATTTGTGAAGTTTTATGAAAATAGACTTGTGACGTAAGAAAGAGAAAACCATGATTAGATACGTCGTAGGAATGTGTGTATATTTACAATATTTCCATATGTCATGTATGTGTGTATGTATCCTGAGTAAATGTAAGTGTGTTCAGTATACATATTTGTGTGGCTGTGTGTAAGGGCTGTCGCAATATATATCGAAAAACAAGTATATCGCAATACACGGATATATTGTATTGTACAGAGATGAAATATTGCTGTATCGCAATACTTTTTTAAAGCTGATTTTTTCTTGTATCTCAATCTGCTTGGTAATCTAACTTTACAAATTACTACAAATCCTAACAGATATGCAAATAAGCATACAAAAAACTTTCAATAGTGGTGGGAATTAATTAAAACTTTGTAAACGATTGTTGGTTTGAAAAAAATCTTAAATCCATGTGATCCCTATCATATATGATTAAGTTTGATAACATTCTGACAACAACTTATCATAAAATCGAGAACATCTTTCCTATGACAATATATCGGGATACGTATCGCAATATATACATTCTGTAGTGCGATATATCTTGATACACTCTGTGTGTATTGTCACACCCCTAGTGCGTGTGTGTGTGTGTGTGTGTGTGTGAGTGTGTGTGTGTGTGTGTACATATGTATGTATGTTATATATATATATTATGTATGTATGTATGTATGTATGTATGTATGTATGTATGTATGTATGTATGTATGTATGTATGTATGTAATGATGTATGCTATGTATATGTGTGCGTGTTTGTGTATATGTATGTTTGTCTGAAAAAAACAGAAAAAAAAACATAAAAAAAACATAAAAAAATGATTAGATACTTCTAAATCGACAGAACAAATGTCTTTTTCATGGTGCACAAACTGCCTACGAGATGAAATTGAAAAATATAGAAAGTGAAGCTTGAGAAAATGATTTTATTTGATATTGCCGATTTTCTACAAAAAAACAAATCAAATGAAAAGTTTCTATTTAAAAAATAGTAATCACTTGAGACGCCATTTCAAGATAATTCATCTATGTAATTTCCTATTTTCCTATCATACACCCCTAGTCTTAAGAGAGTCTTAAAGTATTTACACTATATCGTTAACGTCACACCTCGTAAATTCTAGAATCGTATATTTCGAAACTTATTTTTACAGACATAATGCTTGGTATATTAATGCAAATTAATTGAGTATATAAGTACCTTTCCCAGCCACAAAGAAGTAGATGCCCATCAGCCAACTACGAATGCTATAAAATAAGACTGCCCCGGAGGTAGTCCACAGGAACACGTACGAACTAACAGCCAGAACGAGGCCGACGGCGGAAGTCCAGGCAGGCCCAAACCTATCGAAGAACATCCCGGGGATGATGCCAAACCCTTGACCCAAATACAGCAACGATGATTGTAGTTCCACTGAAAAAAACAGTTTGTGTATGTAACTTTGGACAGGCACTAGACAATTGATATTTCCTTCTCGTACAAATAATTTGTTACCAAAGCAAGCTATGTGATTTGGAGATAACACTATGGTTTGATATATTATCACTTACCTACAGTGTTCATTTTCAATAGTGTTCTTGCTGCTGATGGAATTAATAATCGAAGTTGAAATGCTAATATTAAATGATGATAAAGACCACAATGTCTGTTGATACCAGTTCATCTATTTAGATAAATTAGTAAATTGTCGGGTTACAGAAATATA